GGCAAGCTGGCAAATGAAGAGACATCCACGAACTATCGTCGATCACCGATGGAGTTGTCACTGATTTGAAGTCATAGTGAGCGAGTTGATAATTCTCCCTTGGACTGCGGAAACAGAACTTTTGATAAATAGGTTATCGAACCGACTTTCCTACGGAAGTCGATTCTAGGGGGAAGCTAATGTAACAGCTTAAGTTGGTTGTTAATAGTTAATCTCAAGCAACTAAGCATATATCAAAACAGCATAGTTTAGATATTTATTCACTTCTTTATTTTGTTTAGGCGTTATATTTCTAACTATCTTATATTGCTTGTTGAGAGGTTTTGTTTGTCTGAGTAAGATCCCACGCTCCTCGTTGACTGCGCGAAGAATAAAATAAAGACCTATTTTCCTACGAGTCTGGTTTCTTCTATTAATAACGCGAGGGTTACCATAAGGCACGATAGACTCACCTAGCTGAGGGCGCTCGATCATGCATCCGCACCAGATCACATGTGGGAACGCCGTGCTCAACATCTAATGCAATCGCTAGCCAGATTAGTTCAGACGATCCTCGATATATTGATAGCTTCTCAAATATATCTTCGAACCTCCTCGCTTCTGTCTTTTGATTTCACTTGGTGGGTACGCTTCATATTAGGTGTTTCCGGTTAAAGCGTTGTCAAACTCCGAATACCTGTGGCATCTTCATTGGTGAACCTAATGTGATCTGGTACAACAAATTGCAAACTGTGAGTCCGTTTCTTTTTGGGATTTTATATATCATTGTTTTATTTTAATTTTTTTATACATTGTGATATTTCTCTCGTGTTTTGGGATATATATATTTCCCACTTGTCCATTCTCGTACTTAATATACCACTATGACTGAACAGACACCTGAGTTATTTAGGTTAAAAACTGTGTCCCCACCATCGTTCCAACTATTGTCTTTCTGGCCAGACAACATCGAAACCTGATTTTGCTACGCAGAAGCCGACGTCCACGAGCACGGCGTGAACGACACACGTGCACAATTCCTCGCAGTGGTCAAGGCACTACCGTGAGAATTCAACAGTTACGTAACACCGATCATTCGTATGGACCTTCTACAGCACCACAACCTAATCATCGATACGCGCGAACGGGGGCTAGTAGACGGAAATACTAATTTATCTGTTTGCAAAAACCATTCCCGATCGTTACCCGTCGCCTCACATTCACGATTTGACAGCCACCTTAAAAGGTACAACTCTCCTTACGAAAATTGACTTGGTAAAAGCGTATAACCAATTTCCTATGGCCACTGACGATATTCCGAAAACCGCTATTATAACGCCCTTCGGACTCTATGAATTTTTGCGAATGATTTTCGGTCGAAGAAACGCGGCACAAGCCTTCCAAAGGTTCATAGACGACGTTTTTCAAGGTCTCGACTTCGTACATGCATATGTTGATGGCTTCCTAATAGCAAGTCTGGACAGAGAATCGCATCTCAAGCATCTGGACCATGTTTTCGACCGACTTAAAGACATGGTATTACTGTAAACATTCAGAAATGCCAAACCGGAACCGACTCCTTAGACTTCCTAGGACACACTATGGATGCGCAAGGTATCCGACCCCTTAGAACGAAAGTGGCGGCCATTCTGGATTACCCAGAACCGACAACCATCAAGCACGTTTAACGGTCTGGTAATTTTTTATGGACGGTTCATTCCCGAATGCACCTTAATTATGAAACCTCTTACCGACCAACTTCTTGGGAATGCTAAATCCATCAATCTGGATGACACCGCACGAAAAGCATTCTCCACAGTTAAGGAACTTATCGATCAAGCGACCATGCTTGCTCATCAGGACGCTGAACCGCCCATTAGTATAGCATTAGACGCATCCGACTCATCAATCGGAGGGGTCTTACAACAATGAGTTAACCACTCCTAGCAACCTTTGGCACTTTTCTCTAGACGGTTGCTAGACACTGAATCGAGGTACAACACATTCGGTAGGGAACTCTTAGCTATGTATTGTGCTGTCCGGCATTTTCAACACTATATCGAAGGCCGTGAATTCACCATTTTTACCGACCATAAACCACTTACTTTCTCCTTAAGCTCTTCTTCAGACAAGTACTCTCCTCGTGAGTATGGACAACTGGACTACATTTCGCAGTTTACTTCAGATATTCGACACATTTCTGGAGCAAACAATGTAGTTGCAGACGCCTTGTCCCGCATAAATTCCTTGAACAGTTTCCAAGGAATCGACCTTCTAAAACTCGCCCAGCTTCAAAAAGAAGACACTGATCTTCAGCACGAGTTATCGTCAACAACACTTAAACTGCGCATTAAACAGATAGGAACAGGTAAGGATACCTTACTGTGCGACACATCTACAGGTAGGGATCGCCCAATAGTGCCGAAACATTATCGACGCAACGTCTTCAATACGTTACACAAACTTTCTCATCCAGGTGTTCGTGCAACCATCAAGCTTATAGCAGAACGGTTTTGCTGGCCTGGTATGAATAAAGACGTGAGAGAGTGATCACACTCCTGCGTAAGCTGCCAGAAATCTAAGGTTATTAGACATAACAAATGTCCCCTAGGCTCGTTTAAACACCCGAAGCTCGCTTTGACAAAGTTCATTTGGATTTGGTAGGACCTTTACTATATTCGAATGGATATTCCTATCTTTTAACATGCGTAGACCGTTTTACTCGATGGCCAGAAGCAGTACCCATCAAATACATTACTGCTGAAACCTTCAACCATCACTACAGATCGTGGACGTCAGTTCGAATCTGGACTTTTCCGTTGTCTGACCGCAATATTAGGAATCACTTGCTCCCAAACGACAGCCTACCACCCACAAGCAAACGGGTTAGTAGAACGCTTTTACCGACAACTAAAAGCGTCACTATCAGCCTCAAATATTTCTCAGCGGACTGACGCTCTTCCACTCGTCTTACTAGGTATTCGCGATGCAGTAAAAGCTGACATTGGATACACTGCGTCTCAACTCGTCTATGGTACGACACTTCGACTTCCAGGAGAATTCGTGGATTCTTCATCCTCTTCAATGAACACGGATCTAACCTCCTACACGGACAGGCTTACAAACGCGTTCAGTTAAACCTGTTTCCACTCGACCGCAATCAACTGATGTTTTCGTTCAACCTGACTTACGATATAGTACACACGTCTCCGTACGTCGAGACTCGCATCGACGATCTCTCGAATCAGCATAAGAAGGACCTTTCAAAGTTCTTCAACGCGAACCCAAGTACTATATAATCGATAAGAACGAAACCAACGATAGCATCAGCATCGATCGCCTCAAAGCAGCGTATTTAGACGGAAATCCTATTCACGTCGATTTTCCTTCGGTATAATCGCATGGCACGACTCCTGCACTTATAATACCTCAATCGACAGCCGACACACACGTCGATACTTCGGCGGTATCAGAAAATAAACTCAAAGCAACGCGTTCTGGAAGAAGAGTACGATTTCCAGAACATTCGAACGATTACTTCACGTAAGATACAAGTTTACATTTTATATCGTCTCGATTTTCCCTTGCACTATATATAATTTTAAAAAAAAAATTTAATATGCTTATAAATCTTTATTTTTTATTTAAAAACATATTATAAAAATTCGTTTTTTACGCTGTTACGTGAGTATGAGTTTATTTTCCATTTTTTCGCCCGCTTTGTGATTTTACGTACGTACATGCTCATTTCAACATGAACTTACATACTTTTTTTCTTTTCCAGGACGGCTGGAAAAGACGATTAAAAGAACGATGAAGTTTGCGATGAAAAAGAAATCTTCATTGTACTTCATGGTCCCTTATAGTAAGGAAAGACGAACAGACGCTGCTAAACCTAACAAGCTATCAGAAGAGTGTTTACCAACGAAAAACTCGTTGGGTTTAAACCTCTGACTGGCCACATCTTAGGGTCATCTCTACCCAACTAGAAGGGGAGTGGTCTGTAGCGGTAAACAAATTCTCAAAACAAATAGCTCTGTAAGTTTTCGACATTGGATGCTGACCACATTGGTTTTAATGGACTCACCTAGCTGAGGGCGCTCGATCATGCATCCGCACCAGATCACATGTGGGAACGCCGTGCTCAACATCTAATGCAATCGCTAGCCAGATTAGTTCAGACGATCCTCGATATATTGATAGCTTCTCAAATATATCTTCGAACCTCCTCGCTTCTGTCTTTTGATTTCACTTGGTGGGTACGCTTCATATTAGGTGTTTCCGGTTAAAGCGTTGTCAAACTCCGAATACCCGTGGCATCATGAACACTGTCAATATATATATATATATATATATATATATATATGTCTGATCATAACTGACTATGAGCCAGAATTCTTCATGTTCCATGACCTTAAGTGTCTACTCACTAGCTTTTTTTGTCCATAGGGTCGATATGCGTATGTACATTAAGACCAACGGAAATAAGTAAGAATATGTGTATATATGGTGGTGAGAATATCATATACTGGCAAAACAATCAGATCTAAGATTGTGAGTACTGGAATTCGGCCAGGAGCACTTTCATCCATATCACTAATCTATATGCTGAGATTATAGGTTGTGTCAGTTAGTGATAAAAACACTGATTCTTAAGCTATAAGTCTAACTTCTGTTCACAGTTCCTCGAACTACTTGATAACATTATTTCGACCGTAGTAGGTGGTTGCAGTTTTCTAGAGACATTTTAGTGTCACTTAAAGGTCTGTAATCTATTATATCTCCAGAGTATAAGCACTTACTAAAAATAATTAGCATAACCCCTCTTCCTGCTGTCGTCAAGGCACAAATCTGAATAACCTGTCTTCAGTAGTTTTGGATAATAGTATCCAACTTAAAATACGAATAAACACCATCGCAAACTTCGAACAGTGCCTAAACAACGAAGAAATAGAGCGAAGTAATCAACCGATTTACACAAGCTTGTCACAAAGTATTGTTTATTGGAATTCCAGTGTATTGGCAAATTTATGAATCATTTAGCGTTGTGACCTTGGATACACGTATGTTTGCATGTTTACACAAATATCTCCATTTTGTTAGTTTCTAGAATTAAATACTTCATACGTAGTTTACTCAGTGTAAGTGAAAAACAGCGGAAAGTTATTGTTCACTGTAAGACCAGCCTATTATCAAAAACACGGTCGAATGAAATGGAAGTTACTAACTCTAAATGTTGATCAGCAGCTTGAACACGTTCTTCAAATCAAGCTCTGTCTATTTGTTTTGGGGGGCACTCAAATGCTTTGAATGGGATAGCATTTCTGTAATTGTTTATTCATCACCCATTAGAAACTTTACCTTTTGGAACAAAAGCCTGGACTAGTGCAGAGTTTGATGTTTTCCCTTAATTCGTGAAGACTCCTCGAATTTAAGAGATCGGGAACATCATTAATATTGACGTTGTCCACATTGGTTCGTTTATCTCCATGTTAGTCGTGATGGATATTTACTACCACCATCAGTAAAACTACGTTGACTGTTTCTGTTAATCTCGTTAGTGTTGTGTGACGTGGTATTAGGACTTCGACAGTTGCATATGTGCCAGGCCCTAAATATACTTGGTCATGTGCATCGTGACTTTAAAACCTCTGAACCTCTTTCTCACATTGACAAGTTTTCGAACCATTTAGAAAAATATATCCATTTTATTTCCTTGGTTTTGTATAATATACTTTTACTCTGTACAAACTGTGTTGATTGGTCACTGTTTCTCAAGGTCACTTGAGATTCGTTCAACGGTTGTCCATAAATTATAGTCTCACTGCATTCCAGATGCAAATTTACTATTAAGTAGTTAAAAAGTTAATCTAATCACCTCTTGTCCTCTCTTATGACAACGGCAATAGGTTTAGGTTAGCAACTCTCTCGTTAAATAGCAACTTTTTGATTCCGAGGATCACCTTAGTTGTGGTTCTTTAAACCTTATCCAACAGCTTATCATCATGTCTCTAAGCAGGGGCTAGCTGTTCGTATGGAATAATTAGGTTTAGACCAAACGAAACGAGGTTAAATGTTGGGTCTATTGATTAGAGAGTTCTTAAACTTCTAAAAGCTATTGCACGTTAGTGTACAGTAATTTTCAGGTTTTGATGAACGAATTCTAAATTAATGTGTTGTTGGGCAATGAAGCAATGTTATAATTTATCAACCTCGACCGTTGTTGCTACCTTGACGTGGTAGTTGGGCTTGCCTATCGTGATGAAGCAACCGAGCTACACTGGCTGGAACAACAGTTCCTCAAGGTCTTACCATGCCAGACAAGTCGGCTGAAGAGCGGTAAGACTAAAAGCAACAAAACCAAGGTCCGAAGGCGAAGTCGTACTGCTGACTGTACAGAGGTGTGACAGCAGTAAGGTGTTTCCTTCAGACAACCAGCATGACAGCGATGCTGCCTTCCCACAAGGAGGGGTATGGTTAGAAAAGGTCGACCCTAAAAATGCACACCTCGCCTTATCCCACGGATATCCGTCTCCGGCGGTAAGGACTCAACAAGTACGGAGCTAACATAAAAATCACTCATAAAAAGGTCGTGTGTGACCGACCTCAAGCAGCTGTCCCTTGGGCACTGCGGTCACGCTCTCAGGTCACTATGACCAACTCTAATCCAATTTCCTTTTCAGGTACCTCCAGAAGAACCCTTCCACGGTGTGGGCAACCGGGAAGTGATAACCGCCCTCATACCTCTAACAGCACTCAAGACCACTGTATTCATAGTCAACCTCCCTCTTCAATTCCTATTATTCCTCCTACATCGACTTTATACACTAAACTTCCTCTATTAGCTTCCTCCTCAAGTGTCACCACAGCCAACGATTCTAGTGCTCAAAACACTGTCCCAGGTCTACTGAAACCTCGCTCCAAACTATACATTGGAGCCTTCAACGTACGCACACTATGCCAAATCGGTCAGCAGGCTTCCTTGGCTAAAACCTTAGAATCTCGTACCATTGATGTATGCTGTGTCTCCGAAACAAGCAAAAGTCTAAGGAACGACCGTGAGCATTGGTGGGCAACGAAAGTAAAAGAGATGGAAAAGGCGGCGGCTATAGGGAACACAAGACAACTCTACTTACTTACTTACGCCTGTTACTCCCAATGGAGCATAGGCCGCCGACCAGCATTCTCCAACCCACTCTGTCCTGGGCCTTCTTTTCTAGTTCCATCCAATTCTTGTTCATTTTTCTCATATCTATCTCCATTTCCCGGCGTAATGTATTCTTTGGTCTTCCTCTCCTCCTTCGACCTTGAGGATTCCATGTGAGGGCTTGTCTTGTGATGCAGTTCGGTGCTTTCCTCAATGTGTGTCCTATCCACTTCCGGCGTTTCTTCCTGATTTCTTCCTCCACTGGGATCTGGTTTGTTCTCTCCCACAGTAGGTTGTTGCTAATAGTGTCTGGCCAACGGCTCTGAAGTATTTTGCGTAGACAACTGTTAATAAACACCTGTATCTTTTGGATGATGGATTTCGTAGTTTTCCTGGTTTTGGCCTCATACAGTAGAACTATCTTGACATTTGTATTGAAAATTCTGACTTTGGTGTTGATTGCCAATTGTTTTGAGTTCCAGATATTCCTCAGTTGTAAATATGCTGCTCTTGCTTTGCCAATCCGTGCCTTCACATCTGCATTGGATCCACCGTGTTCATCGATGATACTGCCCAAATATGTAAAGGTTTTTACATCTTCCAAAGCTTCTCCGTCAATTGTGATTGGATTGTTATATGCTGTGTTGTATCGAAGAATCTTGCTTTTCCCTTTTTGTATATTGAGACCTATTTCTGCTGAGACTGCAGCTACACTGGTTGTCTTCTCCTGCATTTGTTGTTGCGTATGCTATAGAAGAGCCAGATCATCTGCGAAGTCTGGATCATCCAATTGCATCCTAGCTGTCCACTGTATCCCGTGCTTCCCTTCAGATGTTGATGTCTTCATGATCCAGTCGATCACCAGGAGAAAGAGAAAGGGTGAGAGTAAGCAACCTTGCCTGACACCGGTCTTTACTTCGAACGACTTTGTCAACTGTCCTCCATGCACGATTTTGCAGTTTAATCCATCGTAGGAATTCCGTATGATACTGACTATCTTCTGAGGCACGCCGTAGTGTCGAAGAAGCTTCCATAATGTTGTTCTGTTTACACTGTCAAATGCTTTTTCGTAGTCAATGAAGTTGATATAGAGTGATGAATTCCATTCAATTGATTGTTCCACAATGATCCGTAGAGTTGCGATTTGGTCTGTGCACGATCTATCCTCACTGAATCCTGCCTGTTGGTCTCGAAGTTGGGCGTCTACGGAGTCCTTCATCCTGTTTAACAATACCCTGTTGAAGACTTTTCCTGGTATTGAAAGAAGAGTGATTCCCCTGTAGTTGTCACAGTTGCTGAGATCGCCTTTCTTTGGTATTTTGACTAGAAGTCCTTCTGTTCCTCATCCCAGATCTTTCTGAAGAGAGTTTGGAGTACCCTTGCAGTTGCCGCTATGTCTGCTTTCAGTGCCTCTTCTGGAATGCTGTCTAGTCCTGCTGCTTTGCCACTCTTGATTTGTCTGATAGCCATGCTGATTTCTTCTTTGAAGTGTTCTACCCACCTGTTTCGTTGTTCTTCAATGTTGGTGATTATCTTGCCTTCCTTGTTTTTCACTGGTCGTTCTGGTTTACGGTGATTTCCAGAGAGTTTCTTTGTTGTGTCATACAGTTGTCTCATGTTTCCTTCTCTTGCAGCCTTTTCCGCCGTCATTGCTAAATCTTCCACATATTTACGTTTGTCAGTTCTGATGCTCCTCTTCACTTGCTTGTTTACTTCTGTGTATTCATCCTGTGCCTTGGCTTTTTCTGCTCTTGTTCGACTGGTATTGATTGCTGCCTTCTTGTTCCTCCTTTCTTGAATCTTATCTAGTGTATCGATCATGATCCAATCCTTGTGATGGTGCTTCTTTTGACACAGAACCTCATGGTATGTTGAAGTGATTGCCTCTTTTATCTCTTTCCAGTTGCTCTCCATAGTAGTTTCTTCTCCATTGAGTAGATCATGAAAGGCTTGGAACTTATTGCTGAGGGTTATCTTGAATTTATTGACTTTGTCATTATCCCGAAGAAGAGCCGTATAAAATTTTTGTGATATTGTCCGCCCCGTTGTCCAGTGCCTCTTGAGTTTCAATTTCATCTTGGTGACCAGCAAGTGATGATCTGATGCTATATCAACTCCTCTCTTTGTTCTCACGTCCTCCATCGTCCTCCTGAACTTTTTGTTGATGCAGATATGGTCGATTTGGTTCTGTGTGGTGTGATCCGGTGAAGTCCATGTGCTTTTGTGTATGCGTTTATGTGGGAATATAGTCCCGCCTATGAACAGTTCATTGAAGGCACATAGATTTGCAAATCTCTCACCATTTTCGTTCCTTTCTCCGAGTCCGTGTCGTCCCATGATCTCTTCATATCCGGTGTTGTCAATTTCAACCTTGGCATTTAGGTCTCCCATCAGAATAGTCAGGTCTTTTGTTGGGCACTTCTCGACGATTGACTGCAGCCTATCGTAGAATTGATCCTTAGCGTCTTCATTGTAGTCGTTGGTAGGCGCATGCATTGGATGACGTTCATTGTAATCCCCGTTTTCTTTGTTTTGAAGGAGGCTTTGATGATCCTTGGTCCATGAGATTCTCATCCTATAAGTGTATTTTGTACTTGTTTGAACAGTATCAATGCAACTCCTTGTGTATGTGGGGCATTTTCTTGTTCATGTCCGGAGTATAACAGCAGCTTCCCTGAAGCTAGTCGTTGTTGTCCAACCTGCGTCCAATGTGTTTCGCTGATCCCAAGCACCTCTAAATTGTATCTCCTCATTTCTGCAGCAATTTGGAAAACTCTCCCAGTCTCCCACATTGTGCGAGCACTCCATGTACCTAAATAAATGGTTGCTCTGGTTGTCAGAAGGGGCATCGGCCTCGTGACTTCCGAAGAAACTCGGCTTTCATCATGAGGCGTCATAATTCTTCTAAACGAAGAC